CTATACACACACACACACACACACACACACACACACACACACACACACAGGGCGGCCATGCGTCAGAAGGACTCAACAGCCCTGGCTTACTCTCCTTTGCGTCGTTTGCTCCTGTAGCGATCTCTGTGCACGGACAACTCTCTTTCCTAGAAGGACAAGGTTCCAGGGAGATGGGCGAGGCGTCGTGACCCCAAGGGTGCGGAAGGGCAGCCCTGCTCACTGACCTGACCCTCATGCCCTGGAACATCTCGGTGCTGGTGTGGAAGGGCAGCACGGTGGTGGCACTGACGCCCGGACAGTCCAGGAGCCCCAGGGTCAGGCTCTCCATGAAGGCGAAGGCCGAGGCTTTGGATGTGCAGTAGTCGATGGCGCCGGGGATGGCAGAGAGCGCCAGCACGGAGTTGAGGCACACGATGTGGCCGTTCTGCAGCTCCAGCATGCGCGGCAGGAAGGCCTTGGTGGTCTGAGGGTGGAAGGAGTGGTCAGTGTAGAGCTGCCCTCGCTTCCAACCCTCTACCCTTCCTCAGCGAGAATGGACCACCGAGAGTGCGGCATCCTGGGACAAGAGTTCACGTCGTTCCACCTGTCAGACTGACCACCTTGTCCTGCACCTCCTGGCGGGCAGGAGCTCTGCCCTGCTGAGTCGCTCCCTCCTGCCTTCCCCGCTTGCCCAGCTCCCTGGAAGCACACGGGGCCCTTTCGGGGATGGGTCATTGTCGTGCCTGGGCTGGCTCTAGCACGGGGCAGCCCTTACCCAGAACTGGCCCAGGGTGTTGATGTGCTGAGACTTGAGGAGGGCATCATCGTCACTGTCCATCAGGCTCTTCCCATGGACCACCGCGGCATTGTTCACCAGGATGGTGATGTCACCCACCTGTTGGGGAGAAGGCACCCGGGGACCATGAGGGCCATCAGCCCCTTGCAGTTGCTGACACAGCTCATCAGATCAGTGGCCAAGAGGCCAACGAAACTCGTACCCCAGCATCTAGAAAAGACGCCCACATGCTCTATACCTCCACTGGGAGAACAAGCAATCACTAAGGTCATGTGATCAACACACACCCATGACGTCCACGGCCCGGTGCGCACGGGAGCACCGTGAAGGCACCCTGGACCAGGCCATTCCATCAGCTTTCCACACAGCTCGCTTCCAGGCCACTTGAGGATATTCTCTTTGCCCGACAGTGCCCATGTCTAGCTACGCCAAGGTCAAAGCCTCCCAGACCACTGACCTTCTCCTGGACAGCCTTGGCCGTCTGGTACACCTCCTCCCGGTTGCCCACGTCACAGAGGAAGTAGTGGCACTCTGTACCCATCTGCTGAATCTCCTCCGCCGTCTCCTTCAGGCACTTCTCAGTCCGGCCCCAGAGGACAATCTGGGAGGAGACAATGATAGCACTCAATAGGTGGTCCCTAAGGAAGCTACCATGATACAATGACCGTCATCACAATCCGTATTGGAAGCCATTTGCCTAAGGACTGGCCTCCCTGATTCCATCCAAAGAAAGGCGTTTGTAAAGCAAAAGAGCAATATGACATTTTTAGAGGCTCATAGCCTGCCCTCAAGTGAGCCAACAGTTCTAAAGCCACTCATGACCCGTCAATTGAAGTGCGAGTGACAGATCTAATAGACCCCCTGCCGTCATCGGGGCCACTTGCCTGCCCGATTGCAGTGATGCTACATAGTTGGAGGCAGTAGTGGAGCTGTTTGGGGCCACAATATTCCAGAGTCCTCTCAGGTAGCCTTCTCCCCGACTCTGTTCAGAGCAGTAATTCATTCACACGCATCTGCCAAGATAGGCTAAGAGGTTCTGGCCAGTGGTGAACCACACAGATGCTCTCTGGAGCCTTGGGCCATGGTCAAGGAGCCGGTCCTACTCTACAGGAAGGCCAGAAAAGAGGCCTTGAGGGCCCATGGATAAGGTACGGCAGCTCCACACAACAGGTAGTAAATTCAGGCAGATTTCTGAATGGCCAGCCCATAAAAGGCTCAGAAGAGAAGATCGGCTAATTCCCAAGCACGACCTAAAAGAAGAAGGCGCATCTCCACATGGTACATACACTACCTGGCCTCAGTTGACAGAGGAACCCAAGGATAACTGACGAGGGAGTTGAACTAAGGATGGGGTTGCTCAGCACGGAGTGGGGAAGCCACGCTGCTCGGAAGATGGAGTCAGAGAAGGCACTAAATGGCTCCTGAGGGATTAGTCCAGGGGACTTCTATTTTGGCTTCTTCTCATTCTTTCTTTTTAAACATAATCCACGACATTTGCCCTTTAAAAAGTAAAGCCCATGTGAGGAAACCAGGCAAAGGAGTCAATGGAGACTCTGGAAAATTAGACATCAATGGATGTCTAATTCTGGAGACTGTTGTCTAACTCAGAAAGGGCACTCTGAGGACAAGAAGGCTATTTGGGGTGGGGGTGGGACAGATGTAAACATTTTAAATGGTAGTCCCCATCACATCCGCCAAAGAATCCACGTGACTTCTGCATTTTGCTTTTGACCCTGTGTAGAGGGCATGCACATGGTTGCTCATGCCAACCGTTGATCAACCCCTCATCTCGAGACGCCAGCATACAGTTTAGCAGGCTAGACACACACAGAGGCTGGTGAGTTACATGTGGATGAGAGAGGGGAAACGTGGTATAGTTTTGAAAGCAGGTTTTTAAATACTTTGAAAACAAAATTAAAATATAATGATTCTTTCAGCCCTTGTCTGTAGCCGTGAATGCTCAGTTGGCAAAAACCACAAGCAAACAAACAAAAACATGTAGTTCAACCACTTTATCTTCTTGCAATAGAAGTCTTCAAACTCAGGAAGGGGTTCACAGGGGAAGCTCCCGCCAGTGGCTCTCCATGGCCCTGGCAGGCCATCCAGGGCAACAGGACTACAACTCCACAGGCTCCAAGGGACACCTCCTCGTCTGTTGAAGGAGAAGCAGACTAGGAATGTGTTCCACCAGGAGAGGCTGGGAGATTCGGCTCAAGAAGACAAGAGATAAACATCTGTTCGACTGAAAGGCAAGTTAATGCAAATCGCTCTATGTCTCACCACTAGGCTGCTTGTGGGGCTGTGGGGCTGTGATGTATTTTGAATGTCAGCGGTGGAAGCATCACTCCTGGCAGACAGGTTTCAGCTGCGCTTCCAGACTAAGCACAGACTAGGAGGAAGGAGGAGGTGGACCACGACTGAAGGATGAGCCACTGAAAACCTTATGCTTAGCAGGAGAGCACAGTCTGATATCGTGGCCGAAGATGAGCCCACGGGATGAAACCCCACCACCCACTGCCTTTGCCACAGTGAGCCACGGGACACAGGAGAACAGCTCTATGGGGTTTCCAAGGCTGTAAATCTTGATGGCGGCCGACTAAGCACCTTCCTTTCTCTTTCAAAGCAGCTGGTGAGTTTGAACCACCCACCTGACATGATACATACTGCACCTGCACGGCTCCTTCAGGACAGAAGGCACCCACAATGTGAGTGGAGAAGACCTGCCTCTTCGAGGCTAGAGCTGACCTTTAGGCCATGGGTAGAGTCAAGCTGGGACTTCCAGGACTCATACGGCACGAGTCTGAGTGAGAAGGCATAGCGATAGGCATCCAATAGCAACCAGAACAGGACTGTAGGAAGAATGCGTCTAGGAAATGTCAAGTCAGCAACATGAAATGAAATGCTTCAAGAGAGACATCCTAGGCAACAGTGAGCGGAAACGGACTGGGGTTAGCCACTGTGAACTGCACGGACACATGGTCCACCCTACTCATGTAGAGCCTCATTCATTGTCAAAAAGAACATTGGAAGATCGATCCTGAAGCACAACATTGTCAGTGACAGTATGATATCCGTACACCTACCAGGAGGACCACTTAATAAGACTACCATTCAAATCCACAGACTAACCACTTATACCGACGATGAAGCTATGAAAGGTTATTGCCAACTTCGGCCTAGGAAACAGATTAAACATGTCCGAAGATGCATTGGTAATTGCTGGTGATTGGAATGGGAACGTAGGGAGCAATGCAGGATGGGCAGTTGGGCAATAAAAGGCTGTGGTGACAGAAATACTGCTTGGGATCACAGGAGAGAATTTTGCAAGACTAATGATGTGTTCATTGCAAATACCTTTTGTTTGCCAGCAACATAAACGGTGGTTATAGAAGTGGATCTTGCTGGATGGTATACCCAGGAATCAGATCGACTACATCTGTGGAAAGAGACGATGGAGAAGCTCAATATCACCTGTCAGGACAAGACCAGAGGCTGGCTGGGGAACAGACCATCGAGGAATCAGATCCAGGCTTCAGCTGGAGCTGAAGAAATGAACAAGTCCCCAGGGCCCACAGCACAACTTGGAGAGAATGGACACACTGAACTCCCATGACCAAAGACCAGGCTAGTTGTGGGGTGACATCGGGGACATCGCGTGAAGAACGCAAAAGGCCATTTAAAAGACAAGAAAGAAAAGGCCAAACCGGCACTCAGACGAGACCCCGAAACTTGCTCTTGCACATGAAGTAGCCGAAACAAATGGAAGGAAATGGAGAGGCCTGAATAGAAGCTTCCCAAGGGCACGCAGAGACACCCAAGATAAGGATCCTCATGGGATAGGCCAAGAAAACCTGAAGGGAAGAGCAGGTTTTGCTCAAGCTGAAGGAACCGAAGGAAAAAGCTAAGCTTCCAACTGTAATTCTGAAGGATTCTGTGAGCGAATCAGGAAGCATCAAAAGAAAACCGACAGAATACACAGAGTCATTGTACTACAAAGCATGGGTCCATATTTAACCACTCCAGGGAGGTGGCATACCATCAAGAACAGATGGTGTTAAAGGAAGGAGTGCAAATTGCACTGAAGGCCTGGTGAAAAATAAGACTTCAGGAATGCACAGGATCCTCATGGAGATCTTTGAACAAACTGATGCAACTCTGGACTTGTTTATGTCAAGAAATTTGGATGATAGCTGCCTGGCCAACCAGCTGGAAGAGCTCTACCCCAAAGAAAAGGGAGACAACAGCATGCAGAAATTATCGAACAAGATCAATACCATTAGTTTTGATGAAGATAATTCAAAACAGTTACAGCAGTATTATCCAGCGGGAAGTGCCAGAAATGTGAGCCAGATTCCGGAGAGGCCATCGAATGAGGGAGAACACTGCTGACAGCAAATGGATCGTGGCTGAAAGCAAGGAATACTAGGAAGTTGTTCACCTTTGTTTTCTTGATGAGGCAAAGGCTCATGACAAATGATGGACAGCACTGAGAGCAAAGGGAATTGCAGAACACTTAACTGCACGCTCATGCAGCCCTGTGCGATCTGTCTGCTGAGCGAATCGGAGCAGCCGGGCCATGCGCAGAGGACCTCTGCACTGGGAACGGAGAAGGCTCATGACCACACTGTGATGGGCAGGTGACACAACCTTGCTTGCTGAAAATGAGGAGGGCTTAAAAACACTTGCTGAGGAAGATCAAGGACTGCAGCCTGCAATAGGGATTGCAATTTAATGTGCAGGAAACAACAATCTTCCGAACTGCCCCAGCAGAGACCATCGTGGTAACCGGAGCAAAGACGGACGTGGTCAAGGAGTCCCTGGTACTTGGATCCACACTCAATGCTCATGGAAGCAACAGTCCAGGAGTCAGATGATGGTTTGCACTGGGCAAATCTACTACAAAAGACCTCCTTAAACTGCTAAATATCGCTTTCAGAACAGGTATCTATCCCAAACGATGCTATTTCCAGTTGCCTCAGATGCACGGCAAAGCTGCGTAATGGAGAAATATGACTGAAGAATCGCTGTGTCCATGTAAGGTGTTGGAGAATACTGAATACACCTGGGCTGTCGGAAGAAGGAAGACAAAAGGGTCTGTCTTGGAGGATGTACAGCCAGAATGTTCTTTAGCAGTGAGGAGGGTGGCACTTAGTGATCTGCCATGCTATCAGGAGGGACCATTCTTGGTAAAGTCGGCCAGAGGACCAACAGGCAGACCGTCGATGAAATGGACCGGCACGGTGGCCTCAAACAGAGCAAGACTGAGGAAGGCAGAAGATCAACGGCCCTGTCTTGTTGTTGTACACGGGTTTCTAGGAGGCAGAGCTGACTTGCCGGCGCCTCCAACAGATGGCTCCCCTTCACCAGCCCTCATCCTTCCCTCGGCGTCCCTGTCATTCAGGCTTTCTTCCATCCTCCCTTGTCACCCCCGCCCCATCCCCCCACCTACACCCCATCCATCTGCATCCTTTCTTCCTTGATCTTTCCACTCCATCTAGCCTTTCTCCCACCCATCCAGCTACCTATCGGTACCTTGCCTCCTTCCTTCCACCCCAGCCCTCAATTCACCAACCAGTGCCTACGTAGGTCAGCCGGGCTTCC